TGGGGTTTTGGAAAAGAAGCTATGGAAAACGGAGGAGCAGTCACCCTGCAGATAAGGCAAGTTCTGCTTTTCTTTGTTTTGCTGGGAATATCTCAGGCGGGCTCTGAACCTGGGCGCTTTTTGGTGATGGAGGAAATGCAAAGTGGAAGCTTTGTAGGAAATTTGGCAAAGGACCTGGGACTGGAGGTGAGTGAGCTCTCGTCGCGTGGGGCTCGAGTGGTCTCTAATGATAACAAAGAGTGTTTGCAGCTAGACACACACACTGGGGATTTGCTCTTAAGTGAAACGCTAGACCGGGAGGAGCTCTGCGGTTCCACCGAGCCTTGTGTGCTGTATTTCCAGGTGTTAATGAAAAACCCCACTCAGTTTTTACAAATTGAGCTCCAGGTCAGGGATATAAACGATCACTCTCCCGTCTTCTTGGAAAAAGAAATGCTCCTAGAAATCCCAGAGAACAGTCCTGTTGGTGCTGTGTTCCTGCTTGAAAGTGCAAAGGATTCAGATGTAGGAGTCAATGCTGTGAAAAGCTACACAATAAGCCCCAACTCTCATTTTCACATTAAAATGAGAGTCAATCCAGACAATAGAAAATACCCCGAGTTAGTCCTGGACAAGGCGCTGGATTATGAAGAGCAACCGGAGCTCAGTTTCATCCTCACTGCTCTGGATGGCGGGTCCCCTCCCAGGTCTGGAACTGCCTTGGTCAGGGTGGTGGTTGTGGACGTTAATGACAACTCCCCTGAGTTTGAGCAGGCTTTTTATGAGGTGGAGATTCTAGAGAATAGCATCCTTGGCTCCCTGGTTGTGACCGTCTCAGCCTGGGATTTAGACTCTGGAACAAATGGTGAACTATCCTATACCTTTTCCCATGCCTCAGAAGATATTCACAAGACATTTGAAATTCATCAGAAGTCTGGAGAAATTACTTTAACAGCACCTTTGGATTTTGAATCAATTGAGTCATACTCAATGATCATTCAAGCCACAGATGGGGGAGGACTTTTTGGAAAATCTACAGTCAGAATTCAGGTGATGGATGTAAATGACAATGCTCCTGAAATCACTGTGTCATCAATTACCAGTCCAATCCCAGAAAATACGCCAGAGACCGTGGTTATGGTTTTTAGTATACGAGACAGAGACTCTGGGGACAACGGAAAGATGACGTGTTCTATCTCGGAAGACCTTCCATTCGTGCTAAAATCTTTAGTTGAGAATTACTACACGTTGGAAACAGAAAGACCACTGGACAGAGAGAGCAGAGCCGAGTACAACATCACCATCACCGTCACTGACTTGGGGATCCCCAGGTTGAAAACCGAGTACAATACAACCGTTCTGGTCTCCGACGTCAATGACAACGCCCCCGCCTTCACACAAACCTCCTACACTCTGTTCGTCCGCGAGAACAACAGCCCCGCCCTGCACATCGGCAGCGTCAGCGCCACAGACAGAGACTCGGGCAGCAACGCCCAGGTCACCTACTCGCTGCTGCCGCCCCAGGACCCGCACCTGCCCCTCGCCTCCCTGGTCTCCATCAACGCGGACAACGGACACCTGTTCGCCCTCCGGGCGCTGGACTACGAGGCCCTGCAGGCGTTCGAGTTCCGCGTGGGCGCCACAGACCGCGGCTCCCCGGCGCTGAGCAGCGAGGCGCTGGTGCGCGTGCTGGTGCTGGACGCCAACGACAACTCGCCCTTCGTGCTGTACCCGCTGCAGAACGGCTCCGCGCCCTGCACCGAGCTGGTGCCCCGGGCGGCCGAGCCTGGCTACCTGGTGAGCAAGGTGGTGGCGGTGGACGGCGACTCGGGCCAGAACGCCTGGCTGTCGTTCCAGCTGCTCAAGGCCACGGAGCCCGGGCTGTTCGGCGTGTGGGCGCACAATGGCGAGGTGCGCACCGCCAGGCTGCTGAGCGAGCGCGACGCGGCCAAGCACAGGCTGGTGGTGCTGGTCAAGGACAATGGCGAGCCCCCGCGCTCGGCCACCGCCACGCTGCACGTGCTCCTGGTGGACGGCTTCTCCCAGCCCTACCTGCCGCTCCCGGAGGCGGCCCCGGCCCAGGCCCAGGCCGACTCGCTCACCGTCTACCTGGTGGTGGCGTTGGCCTCGGTGTCGTCGCTCTTCCTGTTCTCGGTGCTCCTGTTCGTGGCGGTGCGGCTGTGCAGGAGGAGCAGGGCGGCGTCGGTGGGTCGCTGCTCAGTGCCCCGGGGTCCCTTTCCAGGGCATCTGGTGGACGTGAGCGGCACCGGGACTCTGTCCCAGAGCTACCAGTACGAGGTGTGTCTGACGAGAGGTTCCGGGACAAATGAGTTTAAGTTTCTGAAACCAATTATTCCTAACCTCCTACCCCAGAACACAAGTGGGGAAGTCGAAGAAAATCTTCCATTTCAGAATAATTTGGGTTTCTGATAAAGGACGAAAAATAAAACCCGTGTCTATGAATACATTTTTATTTAGGAACTTATTGTGAGGTGCCTGTAAAGGAGTGCTTTTAGATCATTTCAAATACGTCGTCTTCAAGTCATGAAATAAATTTCTTTGCGTAGAAAAGTATCCAGATTTAGTACCAAGAACCCTACACAAAGCAGGAAATGTATATGTGTAATGTTTCATGTCTAACAATTACGTTTCATATAAAGTCTATTAAATAGTAAGTCTTGAGATTTTTAAATTGCTTTTAATATTTACTATGACTCTCATTTTCTGAGTTGATTAGAATGCTGTTTGGTATATCTACCCTAGTTTCAGAAGCATAGATTGTAGTACAACTTTTAAATTTTTTGAAACACTCATTTTATGAATTATACACTATTTTAACTTTTAATCTCAGAAGAAACATATATGGCATGATATTTTAGGAATGAATAAATAGGTGGTCTTAGAGATTCAGTAAGTTCAGTAAGGTCCACTAACTAATAAGCGGCAAAACCGAGTATCCATCCTAGATCTGTCCGACTTTGGGTCAGTGACCTTGCTCTGGTTCCATACTATTTTTTTGTCATTAGATATTGTCTAGCAAAGAGAAGAAATTTTTTTTTTTACCATATTCATACTACTGTTCGATCTTTATTTAGAAAGAATAATGTACGTATTTATCTATGGTTTTATTTTCTTATAAACCAATAATCCTGCTTTTATGAGAATCAATTTTTAACTATTGTTACTAGTGCTGTGATCTCTCCAAATCTCAAGTAAGATACAAAATTGAAAGAGATACTTGTGCCATCCCATTTTTCTCCTGAACATACAACTTTCATTTAACAGAAAAGATTAATGGTAATGAGTGGGAATAGTACATAATTTTGATTGCATTATTAGTTAACTGTTTTCTTCACATTGTAGTATATTTCCAGAGTCACCCATACTTACATTTGTAATACATCTTCCTGATTTTAGAGCTTGTTTTTTTTTTTTTTTTTTTTGTTTTTTTAGCAGTTTTCTATTAATTATACTGCACTGCTCAATCAGGAAAATTTAAGAAAAAGAATAGTTTTATATGTATAATATACATATCTAATATACATATAGACGATCATTAAATTTTTAGAAATTCTGAGGAGTTAAGGAGAAGCATTGTTATAAAAACTTTATAACTGACTTTTGTTTTTTAATAGGTAATTTTTGCATGGTTGTGTCCTGAATATATTATAAATCTGTCCTGGTAACTCTAATAAAGATAGTATTACTGAATATCACTGGTGGGATGAAATATAAGGGAAAACACCTCACAGCAGTAAAATCTTAAATTTGCTTTCATGGTCTGAGGGTAAAATTATCCAATTTCTCCAACAAATAAACGGCATTAAAATTAGAAGGAGGGCGGTCTACACTAGGAACTATCTTAAGAGTTCTACCAATCAAATACAATGTGTGGGTCTTGTTTGGATCTTGATTCAAACAACAGCAATGACTTTGAAATACTTGGAGGAGTTTGAATATAGATGAATATTAAATAATATTAACTTAATTTTTAGGTATGATAATGGCATTGTACTTAAGGGTATTTTTAGGGTCATTTAAAGTCATTATGCATTTAAAGAAATGTATAATGAAGTATTTGTGGGTGAAGATTCAGTTCCTCTGGAATGCGAAAATGTTGGAAGCATAGACTCAAGAATTGTGGCAAAACATTGATAATAGTTGAAGCTAGTTCTGAGTACATGGAGGTTCATTACACTCCTCTCCTTTTATGAGATTTGAAAAATTTCACACACACAAAATTTTTTTAATTGATGCTGTTAGAAGTGGAGGTAACACAAAAGGGCATCCTTCCAAGAAAAAGGTTCCCTCTGCTGTTACAGATTTTGTCTCTCTTTAGCCAAACTCTTCAGCCTTTCCTTGTTCATTTCCCTTCATTATTTGACATAACTTCTCTACCTGAGATAGTCATGCTCCTGTATTCTTCTACCATTTGAATTTTGAGGTGTGTTTCTAGTTATATTAATTGATTTATGCAGACACAGCTACTTGATAGCATCAAATTGCCACATATCGGGTATATAGTTTATTTTTAAGGTTAATCTCTCTTTGCATCAGTCTCCTCATTTGTGAGGTGGGGAATTCACAACAGCCCTATCTGGTAGGTGCTATTATTGTTCTCACTTTACAGATGAGGAAACTAAAACAGAGAGATTAAATAATTTGTTCGAGATACGTAGCTACTAATAATTCCTGTGGTTCATGGAAATAAAAGTATGAAGATCTAAATGTTGCCTATGTTAACTCCAATTATATTTGAAATTTTCTGCATATATTCTTTTTGCCAAGCTCTACACTGTTACCTAAATATTTCCTTTTTGCCCCAAACTCATTTAGCATTGTTCAAAGACTAATGTTTCTCCTTCTGTCAGTTGTCTGCTCAATAACGTTCGGCGTTATTAAAGGTGGTGTTGTAATCTTACATAGCCCCTGGATACACAAAGGCAGAGTTGGGAATATTGTATCTATTATGATCCCACGAAGTGTAAGATCCTGTGAGGACGCTTGGTGGCGCTGCAGGATAAGAAGGTACAAAGCAAACTGCAGCTGCAGCTCCATTAACCCGCAAAACACAGCAGAACCTGGAAGCCAACGAGAAGCTTGGATGCTAACGAGAGGAGGTCTGGGTCCTCTGGAAAGGACTACTCACTGGAATATTTCTGAGGCATCTGTGAAATAACCATAACCTCAGATACTGGTGACTTTACAGTCCCACGGAACCCTCCTCCCCGGAAGCTGAACAAAGCAAGAACAATGGAGGCCAGCAGGAAGTTCATTTGCAGACAAAGGCAAGTCCTTTTTTCCTTTCTCCTTTTGGGCTTATCTCTGGCGGGCGCGGCGGAACCTAGGCGCTATTCTGTGGTGGAGGAAACTGAGGGTAGCTCCTTTGTAACTAATTTAGCAAAGGACTTAGGTCTGGAGCAGAGGGAATTCTCCAGCCGGGGGGTTAGGGTTGTTTCTAGAGGGAACAAACTACATTTGCAGCTCAACCAGGAGACCGGGGATTTGTTGCTAAATGAGAAACTGGACCGTGAGGATCTGTGCGGTCACACAGAGCCCTGTGTGCTACGTTTCCAGGTGTTGCTAGAGAGTCCCTTAGAGTTTTTTCAAGCTGAGCTACAAGTAACAGACATAAACGACCACTCTCCAGTATTTCTGGACAAAGAAATGCTGGTAAAAGTGTCAGAGAGCAGTCCTCCTGGGACTACGTTTCCTTTGAAGAATGCTGAGGACTTAGATGTAGGCCAAAATAATATTGAGAGCTATGTAATCAGCCCCAACCCCTATTTTCGGGTCCTCACCCGCAAACGCAGTGATGGTAGGAAATATCCAGAGCTGGTACTGGACAAAGCGCTGGACCGAGAGGAGGAAGCTGAGCTCCGGTTAACACTTACAGCCCTGGATGGTGGCTCTCCACCCAGATCTGGCACTGCTCAGGTCTACATCGAAATCCTGGATGTCAACGATAATGCCCCTGAATTTGAGCAGCCTTTCTATAGGGTGCAGATCTCTGAGGACAGTCCAATAGGCTTCCTGGTTGTCAAGGTCTCTGCCACAGATGTAGACACCGGAGTCAACGGAGAGATTTCCTATTCACTTTTCCAAGCTTCAGACGAGATTGGCAAAACCTTTAAGATCAATCCCTTGACAGGAGAAATTGAACTTAAAAAACAACTTGATTTCGAAAAATTACAGTCCTATGAAGTCAATGTTGAGGCAAGAGATGCTGGAACATTTTCTGGAAAATGCACCGTTCTGATTCAAGTGATGGATGTGAACGATCACGCTCCAGAAGTTACCATGTCTGCATTTACCAGCCCAGTACCTGAGAATGCGCCTGAAACTGTGGTTGCACTTTTCAGTGTCTCAGATCTTGATTCAGAAGAAAATGGAAAAGTAAGTTGCTCCATTCCGGAGGATCTACCCTTCCTCCTGAAATCCGTGGGAAACTTTTACACCCTACTAACAGAGAGACCACTGGACAGAGAAAGCAGAGATGAATACAACATCACCATCACCGTCACTGACTTGGGGACCCCTAGGCTGAAAACACAGCTCAATATTACTGTGCTGGTCTCTGATGTCAATGACAACGCCCCCGCCTTCACACAAACCTCCTACACCCTGTTCGTCCGCGAGAACAACAGCCCCGCCCTGCACATCGGCAGCGTCAGCGCCACAGACAGAGACTCGGGCAGCAACGCCCAGGTCACCTACTCGCTGCTGCCGCCCCAGGACCCGCACCTGCCCCTCGCCTCCCTGGTCTCCATCAACGCGGACAACGGACAGCTGTTCGCCCTCCGGGCGCTGGACTACGAGGCCCTGCAGGCGTTCGAGTTCCGCGTGGGCGCCACAGACCGCGGCTCCCCGGCGCTGAGCAGCGAGGCGCTGGTGCGCGTGCTGGTGCTGGACGCCAACGACAACTCGCCCTTCGTGCTGTACCCGCTGCAGAACGGCTCCGCGCCCTGCACCGAGCTGGTGCCCCGGGCGGCCGAGCCGGGCTACCTGGTGAGCAAGGTGGTGGCGGTGGACGGCGACTCGGGCCAGAACGCCTGGCTCTCGTTCCAACTGCTCAAGGCCACGGAGCCCGGGCTGTTCGGCGTGTGGGCGCACAATGGCGAGGTGCGCACCGCCAGGCTGCTGAGCGAGCGCGACGCGGCCAAGCACAGGCTGGTGGTGCTGGTCAAGGACAATGGCGAGCCCCCGCGCTCGGCCACCGCCACGCTGCACGTGCTCCTGGTGGACGGCTTCTCCCAGCCCTACCTGCCGCTCCCGGAGGCGGCCCCGGCCCAGGCCCAGGCCGACTCGCTCACCGTCTACCTGGTGGTGGCGTTGGCCTCGGTGTCGTCGCTCTTCCTGTTCTCGGTGCTCCTGTTCGTGGCGGTGCGGCTGTGCAGGAGGAGCCGGGCGGCCTCGGTGGGTCGCTGCTCGGTGCCCGAGGGTCCCTTTCCGGGTCATCTGGTGGACCTAAGTGGCACCGGGACCCTGTCCCAGAGCTACCAGTACGAGGTGTGTCTGTCGGGAAGTTCTGGGACAAATGAGTTCAAATTTCTGAAGCCGATTATCCCCAACTTCTCTCCCCAGTGCCCTGACAAAGAAATAGAGGGAAATTCTACCTTCGCCAATAGCTTTGGGTTCAATATTCAGTGACCATAATTGACTTTTATATTCCATATGTATTTTATTTTGTGGCATTTCTATGCCAATGTTTGTTTTCCCCAATTTGTGTGTATTTAAAATTGTACTGATTTACTTGCGATTTTTCTCCTGTTCTTTCTCCCTTTGCTTTTAAGTGAAACTTTACCTTTATTCCTGGTTCTTAAAAGGTAGCAATTCACTCTTTAACCTAGATGGTCTTAATTTGCAATTAATTTGCCTCCCTAAAGAATAATACCAAATCACGTTTTTCCATGTTCCTCTCTTCAGTTGAACTTCACACACAATTATGCTTACAGTAAAATAAAATAGACCAATTTAGAAGTCCTTCAAAATTTTCAGCATTTTTTCATTTGATTTTTCTTATTTTTGCAGTTGTAAAATAATGATTGCTATTAAGATACATCATTTGTATTTTTTTAATCCAGTATGTTTTTAGTTAACCTTAAATATGTTATTACTCTCAAAAGTAAACCAGAAAACCTATATCCTGTGATACAACTCTAAGTGTTATCACTTGATTTGAAAGGGTCAGAAGACCAGTTTCTTAGTATCCTTTCCTCATTCATGCTGGAGAGGATTGTGCAAGCATATTAAGATTGTGGCCATTCACAGAATCTGGGAGTATGAAGCTATAATTGTTTAATTAATGTCTCAAGGCTCTAATGCAATCTAGTGTCGTGCAGATGCCTGTACCCAAATAATAATTTGTATAGGACAAAGTGGACTTGTGTGTTAATGTATAAGAAATTTTTGCCTTACTATCATAAAATTTAATGTATATACACCAGAAACTATTTTTCAAACTTTTTTTTTACTACAACTAATATTAAGATAATATTTCACATATTTGGCAACACGCAAGCTTAACAGAAAGAAATGTTTGTCAACAATGCTTAGTCTTTTGTGACATAATTTGAAATTACCTATATTATTTCATTCTATTCAATTTTCAAATGTGGTCATGATCCACTAAATTTATTTCATGGTATATTAATGGGTAGTAGTTTGAAAACCACTTTTCTGGGGGTATACCGGATGTTGAACACTGAGAGTATAAAAAAATAGTCCTTTAGGTTCTAATTTAAAATTTTTTTCAAACCATTGTAGAGGAGTAGCTTTGTCTCATATTAAACCACTCTTGCCTTTGAGGATCTGACATTACTATGTAAGAAAAAGACTTCATGGTAGGAGGAGGAGATTTTCCATGAATGTTATCAAAAAGCATAAAGTCTATATGTTGTGGGAGAAAAATGTAAGATAATAAAATGAGTAAGAGTATAAAGGCAAAGGAATTGTGTATGTGAGAGAGACAGCAAGCATAGGAAAGAGGAAATTCAGGGGGATGAGGAAAATGACTACTTCCAATGCCACAAAATAGACGCAATCTCAATTGCTTCTCTCGCGCTCTCGCTCTCTCTCTTTTTTTTTTTTTGACGGGGGGGCAGGGTCCTGCTCTGTCACCCAGGCTGGAGTGCAGTGGTGCAATCTCCCACTCACCACAACCTCTGCCTCCAGGGCTCAAGTGATCCTCCCACCTCAGCCTCACAAGTAGCCAGGATTACAGGCCCAGGCTACCACATCCACTAATTTTTGTATTTTTAGTGGAAACAGGATTTCACCATATTGTCCAGACTGCTCTTGAACTCAAGCAATCCACCTGCCTCAGCCTCCCAAAGTGCTGTGACTACAGGTGTGAGTATCTGGCCTCAACTGCTTCTTGAAGATATTTTAAAACTTTATCCTAACATTGTAGAGGGACTGGGTATTAGTCAGTTGATAATACCAAGAAGTGTAATCTCTCTTTCTAGCATATCTAAGACAACCTAATGTTTACACTTCTTACTAAGATTTCACTACCAGTTCTGTTGAACTATGTCAACTGAGTAATTATTCTTTTCTTCTTTCTTCTTTCTTTCTTTCTTTCTTTCTTTTTTAGAGACAGGGTCTCACTCGGTCACCTAGGCTGGAGTGCAGTGGTGCAATTATGGCTCACTGCAGCCTAATTCTACTGGTGGAGGAGGAAAGAGTAGTTCCAATGCTCAGATAGAAAATCTAGTAGGTGCAACAGTGGAGAAAAGGGTCAAGTACTTGTCCTATTACTTCCAGTTTTTCTAGATATATGAGCAGCAGGACTTCTCTCTTTATAAAAAGAACTGTGAGTTTCCTGGCTCTTATGAGGAGTGACCAGGAGCTCAAATACATATAACCAACCAATTCTCCTAGAATGAATTGCTAAAAACAAATTTTGCTCTTATGCTTCAAAGACCTCATTTTAAGTTATACTTAAAGACCCCTGTTTAAGTTATACTTAAAACAGTGCAGCCAGGCGCGGTGGCTCAAGCCTGTAATCCCAGCACTTTGGGAGGCTGAGGCGGGTGGATCACGAGGTCGAGAGATCAAGACCATCCTGGTCAACATGGTGAAACCCCGTCTCTACTAAAAATACAAAAAAATTAGCTGGGCATGGTGGCACATGCCTGTAATCCCAGCTACTCAAGAGGCTGAGGCAGGAGAATTGCCTGAACCCAGGAGGTGGAGGTTGCGGTGAGCCAAGATCGCGCCATTGCACTCCAGCCTGGGTAACAAAAGCGAAACTCCGTCTCAAAAAAAAAAAAAAAAAAAAAAAAAAAAAAAAAAAACCAGTGCATAGGAATCTAGCTATATCAGCCAATTTTACTTGAAAGAATTATTGGTTTTAAGTAACTTAGAACATAATTTTATATCCAGTGGGGGTTAAAGGACACAGAAAATAGAGACACAAGAGATGGCCCAGCCTTACAGAATGGATTCTCTCGAAAACCCTTACAATAAAAACCAAATGACAGATTTTTTTTTTTTAATTAGGCAAGAGTATGGGGGTGGGGGGAAGGACATAAGGACATTTTATCTTACAAACACATTTTTCTCTTTATCTTTCTGTTTCAAGTTCTGCCACCAGATACTTGAAAATAACTGAAATAAGTTATTTAATGTTATGTTAAATAACTTGAAATAGAAAGATAAAGAACTTAATCAGTGAATCCACTGACAAATCTAACAACGTGACCTCTCAGTCTCTAGGTCTTTACCTCTACCCCAGTTGTTCAGTCATTAATGTCCCGGCTAGATATTGTACTTTTTCCCCACCTAGAAACCATTCTATGATATAATAATTTCAAATGTCTTCTTCTGAGAGCACAATTGTCTGTGCCTATAACCTTCTCATTCTGATGTTCCTATCACATCTTGTCTTTGAGCTTATCAGGAGCTCCATTCCATGACGCTGCTATTACCTATCAAACCCTCCTGTTCTAATTTCCTTCCTATCCAGCTGACTTCCTGGTTTACTACTCCCAATCACTCTCATGCCCATATTCTAAATTCCCTTGTTCAATTTTCCTTCACTAAAACCACCTGATGAAACTCCAGCCCACGTGAATATAGTCCTCCTCCTCTCTTACACCAGGGCTGCTGCACTCTGTAAGACCAAACTAACAAAATCAGCAACACCACTGCCACTATAAGTGTATATTTTCCAACCTAATTGGGCTTCTGAGACCAAGAACTCCTTTTATAATTTTTCTAATGAGCTCTCTTTTCCATTCACCACAATATCTATTTTAAACCTACTTATCTTAGTTTACCTTCTTACCCTACCATTTACATACCCCCTTTTAGCAGGTGAACTTGCCTAATACCTTATTGAGAAAATAAAATCCATCAACTAGAAATTCATTTTCCTGTCCCCTACTCCACGGCTTTAACAGCATCTGTATCTGTACTTTTCACCTGCTGTGGTCTCTCCCACCAGTCCAAGTCCAATCCCTTCACACATTGCCTGCATCCCATCTTTAACACCCTTTCAAGGGGAATTGCATTATCTCTTCTGTATCTTAATTTTCTCCTTCCCTATTGAACATGACACATAGGCACTTTAAATATATTCAAGTTTATCTAGTTCAAAAAAGTAACCTCTGAGCCTGAATTCTTCTCCAGATACCAATGTATTTCTTATTCCTTTAACAGCGTGTTCATTCTTTACAAATTTCTTGAGAGCCTGGCTGCAGTGAGCCGTGATTGCACCACTGCACTCCGGCCTGGACAACAGACGGAGACCCTGCCTCAAAAAAAAAAAAAAAAAAAAAAAATTGTTGAAAGGGCTATCTCATTTTTGCTTCCTCATTCCTCTCACTTGGCAGTGGAGTAAAATCTAATTTTCTTCATAACCATTCTATTGAAACTGCTATTGCAAAGATTATCAAAGATTTCCATGCAAGTTCAGTAAGATTATACTGTGGAAGCAATGTGATGCAATGACACAGTGACTTGTAAACATGTCTCTGTTTTTCACATGACAGTAGCAATGTAAAAATTATTAGGTGTGTAGGGCAGCTTCGATCTTACAGTGCTTCTGGAACCGAATTTTCTTTCAAGTAATTGCTTCAAAATTCCCTGTGGCAATACCAAAATCTGCATGGGTATAGCTGGGTCAGTGCCGTATTTGGGTTCTAGCTCGCTTAGAAGAAAGAAGCATATCCAGATGATTACTATTCCAGATCTGGAAGGGGCAGACAGAAATTCTGCTCACAATCCATCTGTAAGAACTTAATTGACTTGGCCACACGAAACTACAAGGGAGGCTGGGATGGACAATCTATCTTCATGACCATGTACCTGGGTATAGTTCTATTCCTATAGAAGTAATGGAAAACAGATTTTGTCAGATGTCTATCTGAATCCTCCACAATGACCATTTTTTAAAGTCAAATAGATAATTGTCATACTTATTTTTCTTGACTTTTCTGAAGCATTTTCAGCTGTTGACCTTCCTTATCTTCTTAAAATGCTATTTGCTTTTGATTTCAAGATTTTGAACTCTGAGCCTTCCTTATCTTTTCAAATATACTTCTTGCCCTGTCTCCTCTAAATGAAGATGTTTCTCATATTTCTGTGCCAAGCCTCTTCTATGCCTATTTGACACACTTTTGCCTGGTTTCCTAGAGCTTTCATGGTTTCAATCACCACATATATACTGATTGATCCCAAGGTTCATATCTCCGGCCCAGATTTATTTCCTATGCTTCGGTTATATGCAAACACACACACACACACACACACACACACACACACACACACACACCCCGCAAACACACATTCTACAGGCACTTATCTTAATATCAGCATGTTCAAAATGGAACACTTCATCTTTTCCACCTCAGTCATGTTTCTTCAGCATTCCTTACCTTGTGAATGGCACTCCTAGCCATCCAGTTGCTCAGTCCAGAGGTGGGATATCATCTCTGAATCTTTCCTCTTTTCCTCCCCATGCAACCTATCAACCAACAGTTGGAAACATTTCATCTCCTAATATCTTTCTATTCATCCCTCTTCTCTCCATCTATACTGGCATTACCCTCAGCCAAACTATCATCATCTCTTATCAGATCTCCTTGATTCCCCAGTCATTTCCTCTGAAATTAACTCTCCATACTGCAGCCAAACTGATTTTTTAATGCAGATGTGATCATGTTAATAAGATGTTAAAACCCTTCTTTGTTTCTGAATTACCTTTAGAATAAATGCAAGAATGTATGATATGACCTGTATAGTGATTCATATTCTCAACCTGCTTTTTAACCCTAATTTCATTCTTAGACTCTCCCCTTCCATGGATTTTAAAGTTCAAGGCATACTTCACTTCTCCGTTTCCTCAAAATGCCCATCTAAATATTCCTCCTTCTCCTGGCTAGTTCCTTCAGATGACAATGTATTGTTCATTACCTCAGGAAAGCTTTCACTGATGTCCCAAGTCTGACTTAGATCTTAATTATTTTATTTTTTGACAGACACTTAACCAGCACTTACAAGCCACTTTGTAAATATTAACTCATTAGATGCCTACGATAATAATCATAAGAGGCATCTATGATTACCCCGTTTTACAGGTGAGGAAACAAAGGTATCTGTAACTTGTCCAAGTTTATAGATAGTGAGTGACAGAAGTAGGATTCTAATATTGACAGTTTGGTTCCAGATCCCATATTCCTAACCAGTAAGGTATGCCACCTCCTAGCTACAAAATGTCCTTTCTAGGTATTTCTATATTATTTTTACATATGCATACATTATGACATACTTTAGTTATCTATCTGCCAAGTTTTCTAGCTTGTGAGCTCCATAATAGCAAGAATTATCTCTAACTTATTTGAGCCATGTCTTTCTTTATATTTTTAAAATATAAAAGAGAAAAAAGTAATGACATTACTAACTACAACTGACTTAACAAGTATTTACAAGAGTGAAGGAGAGAATATATTTGTAATTACTCAGGAAATGACTTAAATACAAATTTATTTCTTCAGGCTATTTAACAGATCCTTTTGTGTCAAGCATTCAAAACAGTGGTAATGCAGTGTATGGACCTTTTCTGGATTCAAATTAAAACAAACGAATAGCAAAGAAAATTTTGGAGAGAACTGGGGAAAGCCAAATGCAGTATAAGTTACATTGAGGAATTATTGCTAAAGTTGTGAACACTGTATTACAATTATTTTTAGAAGGCCTTACCTATTAGAAATACTTAGTGAAGTACTTAAAGCTTAAAAAAATGATGTCTGGGATTCATTTTGAATACTCTGGATGTATTTATGAATTGCTTTTTCAAAGAGGAAAACTTTTTAATGAAAAAAACACAAAGACGCATGGTGGCGCTACAGGATAAGATGAGAACAGTACAAAGGCTGGCACGGTGACCTTCACTATTCAGAACAGAAAACATTCAACCCACTGAAAAGACAGGCATTAAAGGAGATTCGCCTACAGGGCTGCTGGAGGATACACTCTCCAGGGGTTTCCTACTAAAAACCAGAGCTTCAGCTTCCAAAATTGGGGCTGAGCTTGAATTTTTTCACAAGAGGTTGCCTGAAGGAACCATGAAGATCAGAGGGGCGCTCGCTCTGCAAAAAAGGCAAGTTCTGGTATTCTTTGTTTTGCTGGGATTGTCTCGGGCAGGTGCTGAATCTGCACACTATTCTGTTGCAGAGGAAACAGAAATTGGCTCTTTTGTGGCTAATCTGGCGAGGGACCTAGGGCTGGGGGTGGAGGAGCTGTCTTCACGGGAAGCCCGGGTGGTGTCTGATGATAATAAAAAGTATTTGCACCTTGATTTGCTGACTGGGGACTTGCTCCTAAATGAGAAACTAGACCGAGAAGAGCTGTGTGGCTCCACCGAGCCCTGTGTGCTACATTTCCAGGTGGTTTTGGAAAACCCTTTGCAGTTTTTTCAGGTTGAGCTGCATGTCAAAGACATAAATGATCACTCCCCTACATTCCTAGACAATGAAATACTTATTAAAATATCAGAAGGTACCACTATTGGAACTACATTCCTATTGGAGAGTGCTCAAGATTTGGATGTCGGAAGCAACAGTCTCCAAAACTACACGATTAGCCCCAATTCTCACTTCTATATTAGAATTCCAGACAGTGGTGACAGAAAGATATACCCAGAGCTGGTCCTAGATAGAGCTTTAGATTACGAGGAGAAAGCTGAACTCAGATTGACACTCACCGCACTGGATGGTGGATCCCCACCCAGGTCTGGGACAACTTTGGTTCTCATTCAGGTATTGGACATCAATGATAATGCCCCTGAGTTTCCTCAGAGTCTGTATGAGGTGCAGGTTCCTGAGGATAAACCCATTGGCTCCTGGATTGTTACCATCTCAGCTAAGGATTTGGATGCAGGAAACCATGGGAAAATATCTTACACATTTTTCCATGCATCAGAAGACGTTCGTAAAACATTTGAAATCAATCCAATGTCTGGAGAAGTTAATTTGAGATCACCCCTGGATTTTGAAGCAATACAGTCCTACACCATAAATATTCAGGCAACAGATGGTGGGGGTCTTTCAGAAAAATGCACCCTTCTAGTTAAAGTTATGGATATAAATGACAACCCACCAGAAGTGACCATGTCGTCGATTACAAAAAGAATTCCAGAGAATGCCTCAGAGACCCTAGTAGCTCTTTTTAGTGTCCTAGACCAAGACTCTGAGGACAATGGGAGGATGATTTGCTCTATTCAAGATAACCTCCCTTTTATCCTGAAACCGACCTTCAAGAACTTTTTCACGATAGTTTCTGAAAAAGCACTGGACAGAGAGAGCAGAGCCGAGTACAACATCACCATCACCGTCACTGACTTGGGGACCCCAAGGCTGAAAACCGAGTACAACATAACCGTGCTGGTCTCCGACATCAATGACAACGCCCCCGCCTTCACACAAACCTCCTACACCCTGTTCGTCCGCGAGAACAACAGCCCCGCCCTGCACATCGGCAGCGTCAGCGCCACAGACAGAGACTCAGGCAGCAACGCCCAGGTCACCTACTCGCTGCTGCCGCCCCAGGACCCGCACCTGCCCCTCACCTCCCTGGTCTCCATCAACGCGGACAACGGACAGCTGTTCGCCCTCCGGGCGCTGGACTACGAGGCCCTGCAGGCGTTCGAGTTCCGCGTGGGCGCCACAGACCGCGGCTCCCCGGCGCTGAGCAGCGAGGCGCTGGTGCGCGTGCTGGTGCTGGACGCCAACGACAACTCGCCCTTCGTGCTGTACCCGCTGCAGAACGGCTCCGCGCCCTGCACCGAGCTGGTGCCCCGGGCGGCCGAGCCGGGCTACCTGGTGAGCAAGGTGGTGGCGGTGGACGGCGACTCGGGCCAGAACGCCTGGCTCTCGTTCCAACTGCTCAAGGCCACGGAGCCCGGGCTGTTCGGCGTGTGGGCGCACAATGGCGAGGTGCGCACCGCCAGGCTGCTGAGCGAGCGCGACGCGGCCAAGCACAGGCTGGTGGTGCTGGTCAAGGACAATGGCGAGCCCCCGCGCTCGGCCACCGCCACGCTGCACGTGCTCCTGGTGGACGGCTTCTCCCAGCCCTACCTGCCGCTCCCGGAGGCGGCCCCGGCCCAGGCCCAGGCCGACTCGCTCACCGTCTACCTGGTGGTGGCGTTGGCCTCGGTGTCGTCGCTCTTCCTGTTCTCGGTGCTCCTGTTCGTGGCGGTGCGGCTGTGCAGGAGGAGCAGGGCGGCGTCGGTGGGTCGCTGCTCGGTGCCCGAGGGTCCCTTTCCGGGGCATCTGGTGGACGTGAGCGGCACCGGGACCCTGTCCCAGAGCTACCAGTACGAGGTGTGTCTGACAGGAGGTTCTGGGACAGATGAGTTCAAATTTCTGAAGCCGATTATCCCCAGTTTTCAAGTTCATGACACTGGTAAGAATACGGGGGAAATGGAGAACTATCGGAATAACTTTGGATTTAACATTCAATAAAACCATTTATTTTGTATTTCTAATTTTTAGTTATTCTTGGCAAGCTAATGGTACTTTTGCATAACCGTTTATGGATTCTAGGTTGTACCGTAGTTGCATGCATAGCTCTTGTTTTTCTCACAGTTGCTCTAAAAATCTTTATTAGTGACTAATATGACATGGAAATGTTATCTGTGTTTTCTGGATTTTTATTTATTTGGTCAAAATGTTATATTAATGGAGTTACTGCTATTTTTGCTTGGATAATGGTATTGTTGTTATGCAAGACAATATTCTCAATTATTTGGATATGCAAACTAAAGTATTAAGCGCTAATGTCACTACATATGTAATTTAAATCTAGACACCATCACAATATAAAGTAAAAATAAAAAGTGTTGCTGGATCTGGGTCGAAAATATAGTTGATTAATCACACTGTTCTTTCTGAAAATGTTCACCATAAAGGGTAAAAAAGATGCTATCCCTTCATTTTCAGTTCTGGAGAGCCTTAATAGTTTTTCAAAAATTTACTTTATGATGAAACTAAAGTGGTCACACTGGAAATTATTAACTTCTTAAGTATTTTTTTTCTGTAATTACTTCTTTTGATAATGCCGTTGCAGAGTAAGAGTCTTATAATGCTCTCGGCCTTGCTGCTACTCTTTGGTTTTCTTAGTTTAATTTTATTTATTTACGTTTTTTGAGACAGGGTATCATTCCATTGTCCTGGCTGGAGTGCAGTGGCACCATCATGGCTCACTGCACCTTTGACTTCTTGGGTTCAGGTGATTCTCCCACCTCAGCCTCCTGAGTAGCTGGGACCACAGCACAGGCCACCTGCTAATTCTCTTTTTTTTTTGTACAGATAGAATCTTGCCATGCTTCCCAGTGTGGTCTGGAACTCGTTGTCTCAAGAGATCTTCCCACCTCAGCTAGCTTTTTGTTTTAGTTTTTTGAGAGTCAAGTTCTCACTTTGTTGCCCAGGCTAGAGTGTAGTGGCAGGACCTTGGCTCACTGCAGCCTCGACATCCTGGGCTCAAGACATCCTGCTGCCTCAGCCTACCAAGTAGCTCAGACTACAGGCACCCACCACCATGCCCAGCTAAATTTTTGTATATTTTGAAGAGATGGAGTTTTGCCATGTAGCCCAGGCTAGTCTCAAACCCCTGAACTCAAGTGATCCACCTGCTTTGCTTTCCCAAAGTGCTAGGATTACAGGCATGAGCCACTGCACCCTGCCTAGTTTTCTCAAAGCACACCCTCTTTACTAGCTTTAATTTTGTATTGTTTATTGCTAAAACAGAAAATAGTTTAGGGGCTTATCCTGGGTAAAATAACTTTCTATCAGACAAGCACAAAACAAGAGCATCATAAGAAATTGAAATGAAGATTTAAACTGTTAAAAAAATGATTTAAGTTCACTTTCCCATTAATTATTGAGTAAAGATAAAACATCATTAATACTTTGTGGCCTCTCTCAGACGCCTACAAAGAAGGAATGGGTAGGCATTTATGGTTTATAGATGCCTCATCGTGTTACAAATTATATCTCAGATCTAAAAGAAAGTTCAATAGAAGATTATAGATAGACATTTTGATAACTAGGATGTAGTGTGGATATAATAGAATTTCACTTGCCATTGTGAAATAGGTGAAACAAATTCCAGTTTCCTTAGAAATTTTTTCTTCTATTTCATGCAATTTTCACTGATTTTACTTTTCATTGTAAAAAGTAATTGTTAGTTACGTGGATTTCTCAAAATTAAAGGATAGCACAGACAAACTAACAGATGACAGTGAGAAGCCACCTGCAGTATTTTAACTGACAAGATTAATATTTACATTATTCAAATAACTCTTGCAAATCAACAACACCAACAAAACCAGGAGAGAGAGTAGGATTTTTTTAAGACAAAGAAAAAGGAATCGAAGAAAAGGAAAAACAGAAAGTCTGAAAATAATTTGAAATGATGTTTAGTTGATGAAACACACACTAAAATTAGTAAAGATGAGAGATTTGGGTAATATCAAGTGGGATAATAGGAAATCACATGTGCAGCCTATTTAGAGAGCTTTCTGATAGTATTTAGTAAAATTTAATATATATTTACTTTATAATTCAGCAATTCTATTGTGGAATATAAGCCAGAAAACTGTCATAAAGCTTTACAAAATGAAGTATATAAGAATATTCATCTAGGGAAAGTGAAGATGAATATTCATCTTCAAGTACACATCCATCTGTAAAGTAACTGATAAAATGTGTAACATGTTAGTGAAGGATTACTATGCAATGATCAAAAGGAGTTAGCATGCAATCACATGGATAAATCTCAAATTTTTTAAAAAAAAAAGAGATGGAGATTTATAATACAGTGATATATATGTGTCTACACACACATATAATACACAATATCTTATATTTATAGAAATATGCAAATATATAAATATATATTCTGAAGGAAGAGAAGGAGAATATAAAAAAGGAGATATTTATGTATATATAGGGGTACAAGGGTACAGAAAGTAGTGAGAGTGAATACCAATGCCAATGATAGTTGACTCTTACAAGAGATTGTTTAAATTCATTATGTCATTATAGAATTGATTTAGTATTGATCATTTGAAGTTGTTTAAAAATACATATTATTTCTATAGCCTCCCAGAAAGATCCGTTGCCCCTACACTATGAAAGCTAAGAGTTTGCTTGCCGTTTTGAGTTGTAACAATATCCCTGAGACACTATATTTTTAATAAGGATGATAAAAATTATGTAGCCCAATGATTTCACTAAAAACAATTGCCATTAAGACAGTAATATATTGTCAGATTAGAGTTAATGTTAAAAGGAAACCCAGAGACATAAGTAAGCCTGAAATCTACTTTTTTCTTGGTAATCCTGGAAAACTTGAACCTCTATTAATAAGCATGGATCCCTAAAAGCCAAACCCTTGGAGTGAAAGTAAACTGGAAGTGGATGAGCTCTTGTGGGGGAATTTCAGCCTTGAACTTGATTTTTAGTCTTTATCTTGATTTTTAGCCTTAAATTTGATTTAAGGTGCTCATTGACAGGTAGTGCTCCCAGGAAGTGATAGAATCAAATGCAGATCTTTTATGAAATGTGACTTTCTATAGTGAATGTGAATGTGACTTCTTACAGTTTTCAATGTTTGAATGTTTATTCACTCTAAGCCTCAAATCATTCATACAACTAATTTTTTATGTTCTTAACATAAACAAAGATAACTGCATACACAAGGGAGCATGACACTATGAGTGAGAGCCATCAGGAAAAAAAAGGAACATAAAAATAAACTCACAAGCACTTCAAATATTGTAACTACCAGACACAGTCTATAATATGCTAGGCACTTTAATTGAAATAAAAGTGATTCTTGAAGATGTACAGGGAACAAAATACTATAAAATTTGACAGATTAGAAAATAACAAAATAGAACTCCTAGAAATGAAAAAAATATAATAATCAAAATTTTAAATGGACTAAAAGATGTGATAGAAAATTAGATACAACTAAACAATTATAGAACAGAAAGATAGATTAGGATATAATTTATCTAATATGTAAGTCAGAAAGTTGGTAAGATGAAAAATACCGAAGAGAATATTAGAAACAGAGGACAGAGTAAAAATAGTTTAACTTACATTTAACCAGAGCCCAAGGAGATGTGAGAAAAATTGTATCAGAAGCAATAGTTGAAGAAATAACAATTTGAATTCTTCAGAATTGATGAAAACATCGATAAGCAGATTTAAGAGACCTAAATAAACCTAACAGGATAAAATTTAAAAGATATCCATATCTAGACACATTATAGTGAAAGCTCAGAAAACCAAAGAAAGAGAAAACTCTTCTTTTTCCCCAAAAGCCAAGGGAAAAGGTCATTGAACTCTCAAACACATGAGAGACTAACAGCTATGCTCCATGTTTCTCAACAGTAGCAATGGAAAATAACGGAAAGTAGTAAATCTTTAATGTGCTGAAAGAAGTTAGTAAATCTTTATACCTAAATGATCTTTGCATTTAAGAGTCATTAAATGAGAGCATGAAATCAACTTGATATCAGTTGAATTTTAAATTATTCCAGATGACAGGAACAAAGTAGTGTAAAGACATTTTATCTCTTAAATGTAACTTATCATAGTTTTCCTCTTTGCCCATCCCTTGCGACATCTCTGGATCTAAGACTTTGGGACCTCTCTCTGTGTCTAGCCTTCTTCATCTCTAATGACGTTCACTTCTACTCTAGCCTAGTAACCTATGACCATGGCCACTCTCTGGAGATGGTAGTCTCTGAAAATTACATCACATCTGAAATCACAAATACAAATATACTTCTTATAATCTGCAACTTAGTATCTTTCATGAAGGGCTTTAATCACCATTTATGCCAGTAAATCCCAAATGTGACTCTCTAGCCCAAACGTCTTTCCTTAACTATATTTATGTAATAGAAGCTAATTTATATAACTACGTATGTGGATGCTCAAACTCAACAATTTTAAGTTAAAATTGTTCCCTTCCTAAAAACCATATGTCTTCTCCAGCTCCATATCTGTTCCTCTTTCTTCTGCTCTTCCTGTGTTTATCAGTTAATAGAACCAACACTCACTCAGTTCCCTAAGCCTGAAGACAAAGTACATTTACCTTCATTCCTTTCTATCCCACTCCCTCTGTTTATCACCCCATCCCCTATTGTTTTATTATTCTAATAAAACCCCTTCACCGCATTTCTGGTTGAGGCCAATATTTCCTCTTACTTGTATTATTGTAACCATTTGTAATCAATCTCTCACCTTTAATCTTATTCCTTTTGAATTTATTCTCAACTCTAAAACAGGATAACCTTTTTTAAAAGTGGAAACATAATCACATCACTTTTCTGTTTTAATTATAATCCCTTTAATAACCCTGCATTTTTTTTTTTTGAGACAGAGTCTTACTGTGTAACCAGACTGGAGTGCAGAGGCCAATCTTGAGTCACTGCAACCTCTGCCTCCTGGGTTCAAGCAGATTCCCCTGCCTCAGCCTCCTGAGTAGCTGGGGCTACAAGCTCTCGCCACCATGCCCAGCTAATCCTTTGTATTTTAGTGGAGACAGGGTTTTACCATATTGGCCAGGATGGTCTCAATCTCCTGACCTCATGATCCACCTGCCTCAGCCTCCCAAAGTGCTGGGATTTCAAGTGTGGGCCACCAAACCAGGCCCGCAACTCTGCATTTCTACTGGTGTAAAGTCCAAATGCTTTGGCATAGCTTACAAAATATTTGGTGATCTTTCCAATTTCAACTCTTACCATTTCTCTCCTCTTGCTCTATGTCTTAGCCATATTGATCTTATTTTAGTTCCTCCAAATACTTCTTTATTTGGATCTGCACAATCATGTTTTTAGTATGCCTGAACAATTTTACTACATACCCAATTTTTGTTTAAAGTACTCCTACTAATTTTTAATGTATCCATTTAGAATGTGCTTTCTCCAGGAAAGTTTGTCCTGCATTTCCAAATTCTGGTTAGATAACCATCATCTATGCCCTTGTAATAGCATAAACTTTCTTTATTATGAAATTCATTGTGCTCTATTTAAAATATGTGGTCATTTTTCTGTCTCCCTCTTGCATGGCAGGAATTATGTCTGTCTGTTTAGTATTCTATCCCTAACACTTATGACCATTCCTTGCACAAAGTATATTCTCAATAAATATCTGTTAAACCAATTAATTAATACATAAATAAATATATTTAGAATTGTGCCTCTGGAAAGCCTGGGTCTGCAATTGATGAAATTCAGTTTCCCAACTAAACTGAGGTCCAATTTGTTCACATTTTTTAAAATGTTGAACTGGACTTGCTTTTAGGTTAAAAACTAGAAATGTTTGACTCTACTCACTACTTTTGAGCGTTTATTTTCTACTCTTGCCAGCTAAGTCTCCTACTGAGTATCCCTAAATAAATGATACCAGTTACCCAGCTCAAAATGTCCAACCTCTTCAAAGCAACTATTTGCATATACCGGGTTCATTTTCAAGTACACAAAGACATTCTTCTTTTCTAAGGGTAGTTGTTGAAAGAGCTAAGATCTCTAATTCCCATTTTCAATTTTCCTAAAAATCTCTTGCTTACTAAGCCAATTACATGTAAGAGTATTCTTCACTATCTTCAGTTGTTTAATATATTGTCTTCTCAGAGAGATCATAACTTGTTTGAGGCAGGGTCTACATCTTAAATATGCTTCTTCTGTCTACCATAGCTGTAGCAGATTATGGCTGATGATGGAAAGGTAGTTAATAGCATCACATATCACAAAAATGCAACTCGGAAAATAGGCATGTAGGAGGAGAATATAATTTAAATTTATCAGCAAGCACACAAGAAAAAGTAGTATTTTGTCTGAAGCTTATTTGACTTTATCTAAAACCTGAAAATCTGCAGAGTCGCATGGTGGCGCTGCAGGATAAGATGGTGAAATTTTTATAACACTGCAGATGCGCTGGTTTCCCTTACCGTTGGGAAAGCGCAGGAGAAAAGAGGCTTTCAAAAGGCAGAGCACCATCAACACCTTCGCGACAGGATTACAAGTTTCTAAATTCCCAAAGGTCCGGGCTGATAGACGAGAGGAGCAACTTTCAGAGCTGCTCGTTGAATGAGTTGAAACGTTTTCGCCAGAAAGACGTTTAGCTAAGGAGCCATGGAGCCTGCAAAGGGAAGAGCTCAGCGGACAAGGCAAGTGCTGCTTTTCTTTGTTTTCCTGGGAGGGTCTTTGGTGTGTTCTAAGACCTGGAGCTATTCCATAGCAGAGGAAATGGAGGTCGGCACATTTATAGCCAACGTGGTGAAAGACATGGGTGTGGATGTGGAAGACCTGGCTGCACGGGGGGCCAGAGTCATCTTTGACGACTATAAACCTTATTTGCGGTTGGATCTACGGAATGGCGACTTGCTCTTAAATGAGCAGCTGGACCGGGAAGCACTTTGCGATCTCACAGAGCGATGTGTATTGCATTTCCAGGTGTTATTCGAAAATCCCTTGCAATTTTCTCGGGCTGAGCTTTTGGTGAAAGACATAAATGATCATACTCCCACGTTCCTAGACAATCACATACTTCTAAAAATCTCTGAAGGTACTGCTCCAGGAACCTTATTCCAAATAGACAGTGCACAGGACTTGGATGTGGGAAAGAATGGTGTTCAAAACTATACAATAAGCCCCAATCCCCATTTCCAAATTAAATTACGAGACAGTGATGAGGGCAGAAAATACCCAGAGTTGGTACTGAACCAATCCCTGGATCGAGAAAAGGAGGCTGAGTTTAATTTAACGTTAACAGCCGTAGATGGTGGGTCTCCGCCCAGGTCTGGGACTACACTGATTCACGTTGTGGTCCTGGACATCAATGACAATGCCCCCGAATTTGAGAAGCCAGTCTATGAGGTTCATGTACCTGAGAGCAGCCCTCTGGACTCCTTGATGATCAAGGTATCTGCTACAGATTTAGATGCAGGAATAAATGGAGAACTGTCTTACTCATTTTCCCACGTCTCAAGAGATGTACGGAAAACATTTGAAATCCACCCAATTTCTGGCGAAGTCTATTTAAAAGCACCTCTAGATTTCGAGATTATTCAATCTTATATCATAAACATTCAGGCCATTGACGGTGGGGGCCTTTTCGGAAAAGCAAGCATTTTAGTTCAGGTTGTAGATATGAATGACAACCCGCCAGAAATAGCCATGACATCTCTTACTAGCCCCATACCGGAAAACTCTTCGCCTGAGATGGTGGTCGCTGTTTTCAGCATACGAGACCAAGACGCTGGAGACAATGGGAGAATGGTTTGCTCAATTCAGGACAACATCCCTTTTCTCTTGAAGCCTACCTTCAAGAATTTTTACGCTCTGGTAACAGAGCGCCCACTGGACAGAGAGATCAGAAATGAATATAACATCACCATCACCGTGACCGACTTGGGGACACCCAGGTTGAAAACCGAGTACAACATAACCGTGCTGATCTCCGACGTCAACGACAACACCCCCGCCTTCACACAAACCTCCTACACCCTGTTCGTCCGCGAGAACAACAGCCCCGCCCTGCACATCGGCAGCGTCAGCGCCACAGACAGAGACTCAGGCAGCAACGCCCAGGTCACCTACTCGCTGCTGCCGCCCCAGGACCCGCACCTGCCCCTCGCCTCCCTGGTCTCCATCAACGCGGACAACGGACACCTGTTCGCCCTCCGGGCGCTGGACTACGAGGCCCTGCAGGCGTTCGAGTTCCGCGTGGGCGCCACAGACCGCGGCTCCCCGGCGCTGAGCAGCGAGGCGCTGGTGCGCGTGCTGGTGCTGGACGCCAACGACAACTCGCCCTTCGTGCTGTACCCGCTGCAGAACGGCTCCGCGCCCTGCACCGAGCTGGTGCCCCGGGCGGCCGAGCCGGGCTACCTGGTGACCAAGATGGTGGCGGTGGACGGCGACTCAGGCCAGAACGCCTGGCTGTCGTTCCAGCTGCTCAAGGCCACGGAGCCCGGGCTGTTCGGCGTGTGGGCGCACAATGGCGAGGTGCGCACCGCCAGGCTGCTGAGCGAGCGCGACGCGGCCAAGCACAGGCTGGTGGTGCTGGTCAAGGACAATGGCGAGCCCCCGCGCTCGGCCACCGCCACGCTGCACGTGCTCCTGGTGGACGGCTTCTCCCAGCCCTACCTGCCGCTCCCGGAGGCGGCCCCGGCCCAGGCCCAGGCCGACTCGCTCACCGTCTACCTGGTGGTGGCGTTGGCCTCGGTGTCGTCGCTCTTCCTGTTCTCGGTGCTCCTGTTCGTGGCGGTGCGGCTGTGCAGGAGGAGCAGGGCGGCGTCGGTGGGTCGCTGCCCGGTGCCCGAGGGCCCTTTTGCGGGGCATCTAGTGGACGTGAGCGGCACCGGGACCCTGTCCCAGAGCTACCAGTATGAGGTGTGCCTGGCAGGAGGTTCCGGGACAGATGAGTTCAAGTTTCTGAAGCCGATAATTCCCAATCTAGTGCCCCGGGGAGGCCAAATGGAGAAAGCCTCACCTTTCTGAATGGCATAGAATTCAATTAGGGATCTGATTATGATGCAGAACTTTTAGAATGAGTGTATTTCTTTGACATCTTATTCATTGTTACGTAGTTTTTTTTGGGTAACTTCATTTTACTCAAGAGTTTTCACTAAAAAATTTAAGTATTTTTTGTTGTTTTTATTAACTGTGAAAAAATTGAGAGAGCTGGAATTTGCTTATTCTTTGTTCCCAAATGCAACCTCAAATAATATATTCACATAATTCACTTACACATTATTTTTCCTTCAAGTTTAATTGCACATTGGGCTCATTCATATTTCTAGGTGTTCTGACTGTGGATCCTGTAACCCAAACAGTTTTTATATGATTGAGAATATTATTACAGACATGATATGAATCAAAACATAATTGCTTGTTATCTGGTTAGGTCGGTTTTTAAAAATGTTACCTAGTTTAAGTTTCTCTTTTTCAAAAAATCTTTAATCTTTACATTCTACTTTTCTGGCAAACATTGCAGAAAATTTTTCCTGTACTTAGGGTTTTTTCCCCCATATATATATATTTCCCCCATATGTATATATATATATATATATATATATATATATATATATATATATACAGCTCATGCTCCTTTCTTGTCTGAGAACTTCTCTATACTACCCAAGAGAAGTGATCACTAGTGTGTTGCTTATTCCATTGTAGGCCTTCTTTTCTCACTCCCTCTTCTTCTGTTTTGTTTGTTTGTTTGTTTGCTTGCTTGCTTGCCTGTTTTAAAGAGATGGGGTCTTGCCAAGTCACACGGGCTGGTCATGGACTCCTGGGCTCCAGTGATCCTACCACCTCAGCTTCCCAAAGTGTTGGGATTATAGGCATGAGCCCAGATCATTTTTTATTGGTCCTGTGATAGATTCTCGATTTCAGCTAGACTAGCAACATTCTCCAATCCCCTAAATTTGTGATTGAGATATAATTCAACATTTTTTCCTCCTGAGTAAGTGTTAAGCATAGGCTGAGGTAGCCATGTTTATACTTGTGTAACTGGAAGCTGAGAATGGTTTCTAGATAGAAAGAAAAAGGAGAGAAAATGGAAGGAAAGAGTAAAAGTGAAAGGAGGAGGCAGAAGCCTAGGAAACAATAGAGACTAAGATAGCTACTTAGTTCTAGACCTGTCCACCTAAGTCCAGTTCCTCCTAAGTCCCCAGTGTCTACTTGCTCTTGGGTTCAGACTCCATTGCTAATAGCAAAATTCTTTTGTTTAACCTGTCTTCAAGGGGAATTCTTGAAATTAAAAGAGACTTGAAGGGTATGTACAACCTTGAGTACTCAATTAGACCATGAAACCCTGGTCTTTTACTTCATGTTTCTAATATTAACTTAATGAATGAAATAAAGGATGTACAAGCTTAGAGATAACAAATCTATACTAGAGGCTTATGTAACAAAATTTAAATTTGTAAATAATTTATGAGGTCTTTCAGCAGATAAATGCTACAAAGGACTTTATGAAATGTCTCATTAACTTAAGTCTCCCTCCTTTATTTTATGTGTCCCAGGATTACTTTTTAAATAATACTTTTAGTATGAAAATAATAACAACGCTGAAATTGTTATGGGTTGGGTGTCTTTTCTCAGGATCCTCATACCCTCCTTAGCAGACTCTTTCATTTAAAAATTATTTACTGAGCTCAGTGTGAACAGAATTATTTTTGTCATATAATACAAAATCTTTTGGCTCCATAAATAGTCCCAATTTATAGAACATATGGTTTGATTCATGATTTCAGTTACAGAAATAAATATTATTTGATTGATATACTCTATTGCTAGAAAGCCTAATGAAAAAAATTTAAGTATCTGCCAAGCTTAGGAGCTAAGATCTTAGAAAGAAGAAAATGTATCCAAGAGATGAAAAATGGAAATGAAAAACTAACTTTGATCCATTAGGTTACTGACATAGGTACAAGCTTCTATCCCATTAATATTCAAAACTGCATAGACATTCAGGAAACATTTTCTTGGACATGTAAATTCATAATAATGAATTTGGATCCATGACCAATATATTTCTGTAAGGAAAATTGTCCATCAGACTTTGACCATGACTGGCATGTTCTCTTATTTTGAAAGTTTAATCAATTTTGTTTGTATAGAAGGAAACATTCTAAAATAGAATGTTGATTTGAGTGATTTATACCTTAAGAAAATTAAACCAATATGAAACACACAATTCTTATTTGGTTCATCTTGAGTTTTCACAGTTAGCTAGAATTTGGTTCATCTTGAGTTTTCACAGTTAGCTAGTTTTCACAGTTAGCTAATTAGAATGCCAGAACATATAGTAGTGTCTGTTAGTTAAACATTGTGAGTAAAACATTGTCTAAAGTTGGTGCAGTTGGGAAGACCCCAAGATGTTTTCCTTTTCCTTAGAAGTAAGAGAATTTCAATTCCATGCTAGCATTTCAGGATTCCAAGGAATTCACAAGAGATATGTGATTGCTTACTAAAAATGAGTTGAGATCTTCTCTAGCTGGGAATAAGTTTAACCAGCTATTTCAGGTGAACTTATTTTCTTCTGCATTTTACTTTTTACTTTAACTGCAGCCATTATTATCAGTGATCTTGGCTGTCTCCCTCTTCAAAATCTCAGTGACTGATTCTCACCTTCAACATGTGTGTATCTCAGTATTAACAATAAACAGTGATGCTCTTTATGAATTATTTTAGATAATGTAACAAGTCAACATAACAAGCTCATAGTTCTTAGACAATATTCACAAATAAGTTATCCACAACTCCTTAAGCTACCTACTGAGTTTGCATAATCAAATAGCTTTAGCTAGTACATCACTTAAGTTTATATTCCTAAAATGTGAGAATGAATCTCTTCATCTACTCTGCTAGCAGTGAGTTAAGAGTTTAATGGGATATATACTTTTTTTAGGACTAGGCTGATAAGTACACACGTTTTCCTGCTTAATTTCCCCAGAGCCTCCACTATACAACATAGTAGACATTATATTGTAAGTTCCATGAGGACATAGAAGGGATTTGTATTCGCAGTACTTAGTACAGGGACTGGCGCATAATCTGAAATCATAAGTATTTGTTGAATAAAGAAATTTAGTTAACTTTGCACTTGCATCATTTCCCAAAGGGTCAGCTACCACTTCTACATTCATAATCTCACAGGATAGTAGAAGGCAAAATTTTAATTTATAAGCCATCTCGTATATATAATCCATGATTTTTGCACAACTCTGAGGAAGTAGAAAACATGTTTTGTGGAATACTTAGCAAACTAGGTTTAAGTACAACACATGGTGGCGCTGTAAGCTAAGGCTGCGGGAAAACAGGCTTGCAGATGGTTACGTCTCTGGTTACAATTCAGACAGTCACGTACAGATCTATCAAAGAGAAGAGACTTTCTTACCGGAAAATTGCCGTTGCGGCAAAGATTTATTCCCAGAGCCGATTGCCTACCGACACAACACAAGCATCCGGACTCTGAAGGCTGTTGGTGTTGAAGAAATGGAAGCTGAAAAGGAGCGCTTTCTTAAACTAAGGCAAGTTCTGCTTCTCTTTGTTATGCTGTCTCAGACTTGCGCGGAGAGGAACGTTTATACTGTAGCAGAAGAAACAGAAAGCGGTTCTTTTGTGGCCAATCTAGCAAAGGACCTAGGGCTAGGAGTAAGAGAAATATCCCGGCGGAGGGCTCGGGTTATTTTTAACAATAACAAAAAATATTTTCAGCTAAACCTTCAGACCGCAGACCTTCAAGTAAATGAGAAACTGGATCGGGAAGAAATGTGTGGCACCACTGAGCCTTGTGTGCTGCAATTCCAGGTGTTACTGGAAGAACCTTTGGAGATATATAGGTTTAAACTTCTGGTCAGTGACATAAATGACAATTCCCCTGTGTTCCCAGAAGGAGAAATGATTTTGAAAATCATGGAAAATACTCCTCCAGGAACTATATTTCCTCTGATAAATGCACAAGATTTGGATGTGGGCATCAATAACATTCAAAACTACATCATCTACCCCAACTCCCATGTCCACGTTCTCACCCAAAATGGCAGTGAAGGCAGAAAATACCCAGAGCTGGTTCTGGACAAAGCCCTGGATCGGGAGGAGCAGTCTGAGCTCAGGTTAACTCTCATGGCAGTAGATGGTGGGGCTCCTCCCAGAACTGGGACTGCTCTGGTCCTCATTGAAATCTTGGACATCAATGACAATGCACCTGAGTTTGTACAGCCACTCTATCAGGTGCAGGTCTCAGAAAACAGCCCCCTGGAATCCCTTGTTGCCACTGTTTCTGCTAGAGATTTAGACATGGGAATTAATGGTGAAATATTCTACTCATTTTTTTATGGTGATGAAGAGATTTCCAAGACATTTGCACTTAATGAACGAACGGGAGAAATTAAAATAATCAGAAAATTAGATTTTGAAAAAACTGTGGCATATGAGGTAGATATAAAAGCCTCTGATAGGGCAGGTCTTTCTGGAAAATGCACTGTCAAAATACAGGTGGTAGATATCAACGATAACGCCCCAGAACTGACCATGGCTTCATTCAGAAGCTCCATCCCCGAAAATTCTCCCGAGACCACGGTAGCTCTTTTCAGCATTCAAGACAGAGATTCCGGGGAAAATGGAAGAATAGTTTGCTCAATTCAAAATGATGTTCCATTCATACTGAAACCGTCCGTTGAGAATTTCTACATGTTGTTAACAGAAGGACCACTGGACAGAGAGATTAGAGCCGAATACAACATCACCATCACAGCCACGGACCTGGGGACTCCTAGGCTGAAAACCGAGCACGGCATAACCGTGCTGATCTCTGACGTCAACGACAACGCCCCCGCCTTCACACAAACCTCCTACACCCTGTTCGTCCGCGAGAACAACAGCCCCGCCCTGCACATCGGCAGCGTCAGCGCCACAGACAGAGACTCAGGCAGCAACGCCCAGGTCACCTACTCGCTGCTGCCGCCCCAGGACCCGCACCTGCCCCTCGCCTCCCTGGTCTCCATCAACGCGGACAACGGACAGCTGTTCGCCCTCCGGGCGCTGGACTACGAGGCCCTGCAGGCGTTCGAGTTCCGCGTGGGCGCCACAGACCGCGGCTCCCCGGCGCTGAGCAGCGAGGCGCTGGTGCGCGTGCTGGTGCTGGACGCCAACGACAACTCGCCCTTCGTGCTGTACCCGCTGCAGAACGGCTCCGCGCCCTGCACCGAGCTGGTGCCCCGGGCGGCCGAGCCGGGCTACCTGGTGAGCAAGGTGGTGGCGGTGGACGGCGACTCGGGCCAGAACGCCTGGCTGTCGTTCCAGCTGCTCAAGGCCACGGAGCCCGGGCTGTTCGGCGTGTGGGCGCACAATGGCGAGGTGCGCACCGCCAGGCTGCTGAGCGAGCGCGACGCGGCCAAGCACAGGCTGGTGGTGCTGGTCAAGGACAATGGCGAGCCCCCGCGCTCGGCCACCGCCACGCTGCACGTGCTCCTGGTGGACGGCTTCTCCCAGCCCTACCTGCCGCTCCCGGAGGCGGCCCCGACCCAGGCCCAGGCCGATTCGCTCACCGTCTACCTGGTGGTGGCGTTGGCCTCGGTGTCGTCGCTCTTCCTGTTCTCGGTGCTCCTGTTCGTGGCGGTGCGGCTGTGCAGGAGGAGCAGGGCGGCGTCGGTGGGTCGCTGCTCAGTGCCCGAGGGTCCCTTTCCAGGGCATCTGGTGGACGTGAGCGGCACCGGGACCCTGTCCCAGAGCTACCAGTACGAGGTGTGTCTGTCGGGAGGTTCTGGGACAAATGAGTTCAAATTCCTGAAGTCTGTTATCCCTGAGTATTTGAACACTGTAAATGACGGGAGGGAAACTCCAACTTTGTAAATTGTTTTGGATTCAATTAGGAATCTGTAGATTTTTCAGAGTATTTAGGATAAAGTTTAGTTCTTTCTCAATCTATTAAGTCTCTTTTATGTCTTTTGGTCTACATAAATTTTCTAAGATGTTGCTGATTTCATTTTCGTAGTTAAGATTAGGCATTTTCTTTCTTTTCATATTTATTCTCCTTTTATCATGTGTATTTTGATGAATATAACTTTCAAGTTTACTGGTTACTGAAAAGTCATATTTGTTCAATTTATCAACTTCTCAAAATCACAAGCTGTTGATTTGAAGACTCCACTCCCATTCTGTTTCATTGTTTTCCAGACGCTTTTCCTAAACTTTTGATGCTTAGAGAACAAGCATGCTTATCCTCCTGAGTGATAATATAGTGATTATTAGTCCATATTCTGTTTAATCTATCTTACGCTTACCTGTAAGCCTGGAGTTTTAAATGAAGAAGTGTCTGCAAAAAATGCATGGCTTTATTTCAAAATAACATGAAGTGGGAAAGACTACATTTTCCCCAAACTTAAAGACTTTTCTGCTCCTTTTATTATCTTCATTATATAACATATTTGAGCACTATTATTATTGTTGTTGTTACATTTGAGATGGAGTTTTGCTATTATCACCCAGGCTGGAGTGCAATGGTGCAATCTTGGCTCACTCTAACCTCTGCCTTCCCTGTTCAAGTGATTCTCCTGCCTCAGCCTCCTGAGTAGCTGGGATTACGGCACCTGCCATCATGCCCAGCTAGTTTTTGTATGTTTAGTAGAGATGGGGTTTCAGCACATTGGCCAGGCTGGTCTCACACTCCTAACTTCAGGTGATCTCCTCACCTCAGTCTCCCAAAGTGTGGGATTACAGGTGTCAGCCACCGTGCCCGGCCATATGAGCATTATTTGGTGATTACCAGATTATCTCAAGATTGTAAAGTTATAGATCTCCCGTTTGTGGTGTCTGGCCCACCTGATCTTTTTCTGGAAACTTCTCCCTGTCATTAGCAGAAGTGTACTGTTGCAGCCGCATTTATTTTATATGACCCACCTTGCTCTATGATTTGAAACACTTAAATAAGATGATCCTAGCTGGGCTAATCTGATTCTCTCTGTTTAAAAAAATTGGCTTTAGAAACCAGATACAATATAGTCTCTTTGTTAGGAACGTAACCAGAATGACTAAACACCTGGATAGAAATACAGAACGACAACTTACTGAGAGACAAGAAAAAAGAAGTTACCAAAAGAATGACCTTATTGTAGATTTTCCAGTTTTAGATTTTCTAGTCCCTCCCAAGTCTACTTTTTCTCTTTGGTTTTTGGAGACAAATATGTGCTGTTTAATAAATTTCCCTCTAATTAAGACAGCTAAGTGAGGTTTTTGTTGTCAAAAGCATGTTTAGGTATTCTTACATTTGTTGGCAAGTTAGACCTTTCTTACTATTGTGTTTTTATTGTGGCTTTTCATATTAATATAATAATTTGGGATCAAGGGGGTTGTAAAATATAAGTAGTCTATAAGGGACATGCACTAGCTTTTGATAAAATATATTATTTTGAGAAGAACTGAAGGATCTTTCCAATGGTACAGTCTTTGAAGTGTTTCATAGAAGGTCTTAGAAAATGTTACTATATAAGAGTTTTATATATCATGTCATAATAACATTAGTGTAAAAAAACCTTGACAGTGAAAAATATGTGCCTAAAAGAGACATAATCCTTATCTTTAGGGTCTTCGTAATCTTGTTGTTATGTTCTTTCTTTTTATTATATAATATATCCCTTGCTTATGGATAGCTAGGTTATTTTGCCACTTAGTGAAATGACATTTGAGGTCATTCGAAGTTATTTCAAATTATTATTTAAAGGGTATAGGAAATAACTACCTTATGGACATGCTGTCTTTGTTTATCCATCTTATATATTGAACTTGGATCTCAGCAGAAGAGGGGACTTCTATAGTAGGGGAAGAATCTGTCAGAATTTTTAATTAATTGTGATTTATTAATGAATCCATTTAACAAATATTCATTGAGTACCTACTATGTGCCAGGGATTAGTTTAGATACTGGGGATGCAGCAGTGAACAAAATAAAGTTCTAACACGGGGTTGAAACAGAAAGGAAACATTAAAATGAGTACATCTATACTATGTCAGATGATAATAAATACAAGAGAGAAAAGGCAGGGCCAGGTATGGTGACTCATGCTGATAATCCCAGCACTTTGGGAGGTTGATGTGGGAGGATTGCTTGAGCTCAGAAATTTGAGATCAGCCTAGGCAACATAGCAAGACCTCATCTTCACAAATAATTAGAACATTGGCCAGGCATGGTGGTTCACAACTGTGGTCCCAGCTGCAGTTGCTTAAGTGGGAGGATCTCTTGAGCCTGGGCAGTCAAGGCTGCAATGAGCAGTGATTGTGGCACTGCACTCCTGCCTGGGCAACAGAGCAAGACCCCATCTCAAAGGAAGAAAAAAAAGAAAGAAAGGAAAAGCAAAGTAAGATATAGGCAGTGTCCTCATGTGTATTTTTCCAGTTTAAAATTTCATAAAATCATAACCCCCTGACTTTATGTAGAAAGGATATCACACTGGGATGAACTTATAGCTTTTTCCTTAATGTAATTTAACCGATGGGAGCACAATTCTGGTACATAAGCTGTCTAGAATTTGAAAGAAATAAAAGAATCCGTTCTTTTTTTGCTGAGAAAATTTTAAGAAATTACGTGGCTATGTGTTATTATTTTTACAAGATGACTGATCACTATTATGTCTTCTTTCACTTCTTAGTTTCTCTCAGAGCAACCCACCCAGACTACAGGCTCTGGAGGGTGGGGACCATGTCTGGGTTGTTTACTAATGCATTTCATAATTTGGCACATAGAGAGCAATAATACTCCTTTGAATGAAGAAATGAATAATTATAATTGCGTGATATGTGACTGCGTCATTTCCTCCCAATATCCAAACTTCTAATAGAATACAGATCAATTGTAGCAATTTGTTTCTAAGTAAAGACAACGCATGGTGGCGCTGCAGGCTAAGGCTTCAAAAAAAAGGAAACGCTAAAAAAGCCCACGAAATACTACGAGCTACTTTAGACCTCTTTCAGCCTAAGAGCAGAGCACGGACCAGTGTCTCCGGAGAATGCTATTGCCCTACGTATCCGGAAGGTTATCAAAGGACAGATCGATCACTGCCTCTGTCCCATCGCTCCCTGAAGAAGCTCTGACCCCGGTTCCTTGAAAGGGGCGTGTGCAGAAGTAAAGATGGAGCCTGCAGGGGAGCGCTTTCCTGAACAAAGGCAAGTCCTGATTCTCCTTCTTTTACTGGAATTGGCTCTGGCAGGCTGGGAACCCCGTCGCTATTCTGTGATGGAGGAAACTGAGAGAGGTACTTTTGTGGCCAGCCTGGCCAATGACCTCGGGCTGGGAGTCCGGGAGTTAGCAGCGCGGGAAGCCCGGGTAGTTTCTGAGGATAACGAACAAGGCTTGCAGCTTGATCTGCAGACCGGGCAGTTGATATTAAATGAGAAGCTGGACCGGGAAGAGCTGTGTGGCCCCACGGAGCCCTGTATAATGCATTTCCAAGTGTTACTGAAAAAGCCTTTGGAAGTGTTTCGAGCTGAACTACAGGTGAGAGACATAAACGATCATTCTCCTGAGTTTCCTGAAAGAGAAATGACCCTGAAAATCCCAGAAATTAGCTCCCCTGGGACTGTGTTTCCTCTGAAAAAAGCTTGGGACTTGGACGTGGGCAGCAACAACGTTCAAAACTACAGTATTTCTCCCAACTCTCATTTCCATGTTTCCACTCGCATCCGAGGGGATGGCAGGAAATACCCAGAGCTGGTACTGGACACAGAACTGGATCGCGAGGAGCAGGCCGAGCTCAGATTAACCCTGACAGCGCTGGACGGTGGCTCTCCACCCCGATCTGGCACGGCCCAGATCCTCATCTTGGTCTTGGATGCCAATGACAATGCCCCGGTGTTTGCGCAGGCGCTCTACGAGGTGCAGGTCCCAGAGAACAGCCCCATAGGCTCCCTAGTTGTCAAGGTCTCTGCTAGGGATTTAGACACTGGGACAAACGGAGAGATATCATACTCCCTTTTTTACAGCTCTCAGGCGATAAGCAAACCTTTTGAGTTAAGCAGCATCTCAGGAGAAATTAGACTAATTAAAAAACTAGATTTTGAGACAACGTCTTCATATGACCTAGATATTGAGGCGTCTGATGGCGGGGGACTTTCTGGAAAATGCTCTGTCTCTGTTAAGGTGCTAGATGTTAACGATAACTCCCCAGAACTAAGTATTTCATCGCTTACCAGCCCTATTCCAGAGAATTCTCCAGAGACAGAAGTGGCCCTGTTTAGGATTCGTGACCGAGACTCTGGGGAAAATGGAAAAATGACTTGCTCAATTCAGGATGATGTTCCTTTTGAGCTGAAACCTTCTGTTGAGAATTTCTACAGACTGGTAACAGCAGGAGCGCTGGATAGAGAGACCAGAGCCGAGTACAACATCACCATCACCGTCACTGACTTGGGGACTCCAAGGCTGAAAACCGAGTACAACATAACTGTTCTGGTCTCCGACGTCAATGACAACGCCCCCGACTTCACACAAACCTCCTACACCCTGTTCGTCCGCGAGAACAACAGCCCCGCCCTGCACATCGGCAGCGTCAGCGCCACAGACAGAGACTCAGGCAGCAACGCCCAGGTCACCTACTCGCTGCTGCCGCCCCAGGACCCGCACCTGCCCCTCGCCTCCCTGGTCTCCATCAACGCGGACAACGGACACCTGTTCGCCCTCCGGGCGCTGGACTACGAGGCCCTGCAGGCGTTCGAGTTCCGCGTGGGCGCCACAGACCGCGGCTCCCCGGCGCTGAGCAGCGAGGCGCTGGTGCGCGTGCTGGTGCTGGACGCCAACGACAACTCGCCCTTCGTGCTGTACCCGCTGCAGAACGGCTCCGCGCCCTGCACCGAGCTGGTGCCCCGGGCGGCCGAGCCGGGCTACCTGGTGACCAAGGTGGTGGCGGTGGACGGCGACTCGGGCCAGAACGCCTGGCTGTCGTTCCAGCTGCTCAAGGCCACGGAGCCGGGGCTGTTCGGCGTGTGGGCGCACAATGGCGAGGTGCGCACCGCCAGGCTGCTGAGCGAGCGCGACGCGGCCAAGCACAGGCTGGTGGTGCTGGTCAAGGACAATGGCGAGCCCCCGCGCTCGGCCACCGCCACGCTGCACGTGCTCCTGGTGGACGGCTTCTCCCAGCCCTACCTGCCGCTCCCGGAGGCGGCCCCGGCCCAGGCCCAGGCCGACTCGCTCACCGTCTACCTGGTGGTGGCGTTGGCCTCGGTGTCGTCGCTCTTCCTGTTCTCGGTGCTCCTGTTCGTGGCGGTGCGGCTGTGCAGGAGGAGCCGGGCGGCGTCGGTGGGTCGCTGCTCGGTGCCCGAGGGTCCCTTTCCGGGGCATCTGGTGGACGTGAGCGGCACCGGGACCTTGTCCCAGAGCTACCAGTACGAGGTGTGTCTGTCGGGAGGTTCTGAGAGTAATGAGTTCAAGTTCTTGAAGCCAATATTCCCCAATATTCTGAGCCAGGAGTGTAGGAGGAAATCAGAATTTCTAGAATAATGTAGTATCTGAAGCTTTAAAATTAATTTTGTCTTCCTCACTTTTCAGTTTGCTTTTGTTAAACCTGTAGTAATCTTTAATTCCACTTTTAAAAAAATTTCTACTATTGTCCTTAGTAATGTTACTCATTTCATTGGCCTCGTTGTTACGCAGTTAGTTTTCAAATTATTGTTTATTATAAATATTTTATATAAGGAAATTTCATATTTCTGAATAAATTTACAGTATCTATTCCTGAAGGGTAATATGAAAGTTAACCCAACCTAATAAACATAACTCTAATTTTGAAAGTACCTTTCACACTATATGACACTATATAAGAATGTATGATTTTTGAAGTCGTATTTCATTTTTAAAGGTTTTTTTTTTTTTTTTTTTTTTTTTTTAGTTTTTCTTATTTACACAGCTCTGACTTTCTGATAAAAGTTTGGGGTGGAATCATTTCACATTTATCTACGTGTAGTTTTTCCAAGCTTCCTGGAGTTTTGTTTTTTCACTAGGGGGAAATATGGATAATTTTAAGCTACTCTTTTCAAGATCACACTTGTAAGCATTAGACTTTCATTCTAAAACACATATGTCATCTCATAAAAATATATCTGCATAATGTATTCTTTCTCATGTAAATTAACATAGAAAAGACTAATGGGTTCTTCCTTATCTCTACCTAAAGTTATGATCCTATTAAGAGTGCTGGACAGGTTTTTTAATACCCAGATTTACTGTGTTTAAGGTGTTTCTATAAAGCCAATAGACACTAGGACCAAGTAATGCATCTCCTACAATTTCCTGTTGTCACAGCAGGAAAATCTTAACAGAGTTCCAAATTCTGGGCTTAAAGGAGCTTCTGATGGTACAGTATGCCAACATCTACTTGTCTTTGGATGGTGACATTGTTCTGATTGATAGGAAATTTGAAAGAAAATACATTGTAGAATTAATATTAGTTAACCAAACAAAATTTATTAAAAGATACGTTGGTGAAGGAGTTGAATTATTTGAGAAAAAAACATCTGCTCTCTTGTTTGGACTTTTCTCTCTCCAGGAGTTTCTGAACTTTGCTGATACTCTAGAATGGTATTGCATGCAAAATAATGACCACTAAGATATTCACAGCCTAATGCCTGAAACCTATGAATATGTTATACTGCAAAGAAATTAAGGTTTAAATGGAATTAAGGTTGCCAATCAGCTAAACTTAAAATAGGGAGATTCTCCTAGATAATCTGAGAAAGATAATTGAAGATTATCTCCTAGATAATCTTTGATCAGTAGAAAGGCCAGAAAAGCAGAGTTAAATCTTCCCTGAGATGAAAAAGAAATTTTGCTTTTGGACAGCAGCTTCAGCTTATGCCCCAGAATTCCAGCCTGCCACTCCCAACTGCCTGCTGTACAAATTTTGGACTTGTCTAGCCACCATCCACAACTGAATATGTCATTTCCTTGCAATAAATCGATTACTATACATCTCCTGCTGCCTGTTTCTCTGGCTGAAGTCTGACAAAGACAGATTTTAAAACCTGGAAGTGAGTTGCTACTGTAACAAACACACAAAATGTGCAGGCAGCTTCTGAATTGGACAGAGTAGGCAGAGGCTGGAAGAACTTTGACAGGCATGACAGAAAAGGCCTCACTTGCTTTGGATAGACTGTTAGTAGAAATATGGTGTTAACAACTCTGCTAGTGAGGACTCAGAAGGAAGTGAGGAGCATGGTAGAGAAATACGTTGCCTTAGAGAACACCTACATCACTTTAAATAGATTGTATGTAGAAATGTGGGTGTTGGCCGGGTACGGTGGCTCACACCTGTAATCCCAGCATTTTGGGAGTCTTGATGGGTGGATCACAAGGTCAGGAGATCAAGACCATCCTAACCAACATGGTGAAACCTTGTCTCTACTAAAAACACAAATATTAGCTGGGTATGATGACACATGCCTGTAATCCCAACTGTTTGGGAGGCTGAGGCAGGAGAATTGTTTGAACCCAGGAGACGGAGGTTGCAGTGAGCTTAGATCATGCCATTTCACTCAGTCTGGTGTCAGAGCTAGAGTCCGTCTCAGAAAGAAAGAAAGAAAAAGAAAGAAGGCAGGAAGGAAGAAAAGGAAGGAAGGAAGGAAGGAGGGAAGGAAGGAAGGAAGGAAGGAAGGAAAGAAAAAGAAAGAAAGAAAAGAAGGGAGGTAAGGAGGGAAGGAAGGAAAGAAGGAAAGAAAAGAAAGAGAGAGAGAAAGGAAAGAAGAATGTTAAAGTCTCTGCTGGTGAGGGTGCATAAATGAGGAAAATATTATTGGAAATGGAAGAAAAGGGAATCCTTTTACATGGTGAGAGAAAACTTAGCTGAATTGTGTCCCATAGTTATGTAGCAAGAACTCGTAAGCAATGAACTTGGAGATTTAGCTGAGGAGATTTTCAGGCAAAGGGTTGAATGTACAGCCTTTTTATTTCTTGCTGCTTATAGTAAAATGTGAGCAGGAAAAGAATGAGAGGAATTAGATGAGAGAAGATCTGTGAAGCAAAAAGGAACCAGGACCTGATGATTCAGACTGCAAAAGATGTTAAAATCAAGAGATTCACTGCCAAGGATGCGTGTTCTGGAGAGAAAGCCACAGGCATACCAGGGCAACTTTTACACTGCCTTGAAAGAATCAGGGCAGTCAATCACACAGAAGACTCTTTGAAGAGACTAGACACATGTTTTTTATGTGTGAAGCCAAAAACCCTCCTGTGATAAGTCCTAATTTGGGCTCTCAGACGACAGAGGATTAGTCCCAAGCCTTGAAAGCAGGAGTTTCCCTGGATGTATTGCCACATTCCTTGGTGCAGGTGATTTTTATTTTTACTTTTACTTTTTACACAGTTGTCAGTCTAGGTTCCAAGTTGTCTACTTAAGATGTGTGAGACTGTTGTCAGAGAAGGAGTGAGGTAGGAGACCAGCATGACTTATTTCCCTGTCAGAACAGAATGAAATGAAGAAATTGGCAGGAACCAGCAGGTGATGCACAACTGAAGGGAAAAAACCTGCAGGAACTAGCAGGTGGTGCTGAAGGCAACCTCTAATTGCCCTCACTGCTTATTAGCATGAGAGAGTCCCATCAGCCCCATGACAATTTACAAATGTCATAGCAAACCAGAAGTCACTGCCTTTTTCCATGGCAATGACCTAGAAGTTATTGCCCCCTTTTCTAGAAAGTTCTGAATAACCAAATTCTCAATTTGCATTAACTCACCCCTTAATTTGCATGTAAGTGAAAGTTGGTGTAAGTGAGTGTAAATACAGTTGGCAACAACCCATAAGCTACTACTGCTAACTCTGGGTGAACTGCAAAATGGTTAGCCCTGCTTGGCCAGGAGCAGTCCCTCTCAATAAAAGATTGCTGTCTAACACCACCTGCTTGCCCTTGAATTCTTTCATGTATGAAGCCAAAAACCCTCCTGAAATAAGCCCTAATTTGGAGCCTTGCCTGTCTTGCATCAGTTGTATTGTTTTCCCTGGGATATTATCAAGGGACAGTACTCTGAACTACTTCAATTAAAATTATAGCATCATTTAGTCATCTTACAATGGGCAAACATATGCAAATAACAGTTTTCAAAGAAATATTCCTGGCTAATAGCATCTCTCAAAGTTGAGTTTTAGAGAACAGAAAGAGAAAGTGAACTGATAAATGTCAGGTATGCTTTTAAATCTGTATTAACGGTATCCTGAGCAAGATGACTAAGACGTTTATGCAGCAATCCAGAATACCCTGTCTCCATCACAGGCAGGAAAGTAGCAAGGCTAAAAATTTTACATAGTAAAATTGACTAAATATGGATTCTGAAAATCTTCATAAGCAGATCAGCAATCCATATGTTTTTGTGGATTATGGCTATTGTAAGGGGAAGTACCAATTCTCCTCTATGTCACACATAGCAGCTAGAACAATTTTGAACAGGAGTGACAAGTCATTATTTCTTAGTGAATAAAATAGTTAAGGATAGTGAAATAAGTTTTTTAGAAACTAGCAGGATAGAGACTCATCAACATAAACAGAGCCATTCATTTTACCTATTTTCTCTCTAAGACTTTAGAGACTTTCTTTGAGATTTCTATAAATCTCAACTTGCCTTTTATGATGTTAATCTAAGGCCATTGACCTTCTTGCTTTATTTCCCTTCCTTGCTTTTATTTTCTTCCTAAATGGCAATTGGAATATATAGGTAGTTGTGGTCAAATGATAGCATTCACAAGGTGGAAAGTACCTTATTCTAACAATTGGAAAGTGGAAAATAATTTGAATTTCTTCCACAAATGAATTTAAATGAGGGCAATAGTTTTCTGAGAAACCCATTAGCTATATTTTTGGTATTGTAAACATAGGCTTCACTGTCCTCTAAACAACGAAACCTCTAAAACCACTATTGAAAATAGCAACAGGGAACTTCTATTTCTAGTTTGATTACTGTAAACGTGGAAATTATGTATCATTTTAGACAATTTAGTTAATACAACTATTTAAATGTGTATAAAATTATCCCTTTTTGGCTGATGGCTGAATTTTTAGAAAAGATTTTCTTAAAAGTTGAAAGGTTGGCTGTGCTAACAGAGGTCTCTCTGGATATTATGAGGTCATAATGGAGTGTTATGAATTGTCTTTGGGGTAATCCTCTAAGGTTTCCTCATCTTATACAAACACTGTAATGATGTCTTTTCTTCACAAAAGAACAAAGGAGACATAAACATAATGAATTTTTTTTTTTGCTAATCCAATGCCTGTTCCTGTAAAAATGAATTTCTTTCCTGTAAAATCAATAGAATATAGGCACTAAATAGCAAGCTCCTTTCATGTATATTTCCAATCTATTAAGGGAGAGGCTTGTGTCTTTTTTCCCAAACAAAGCCAAATAACATTCAGTAAGAGTTCACTTTGGCGATGTTTAGTGAAAATCTAACTCAGAGGCCTCACTGGAATACCCCATGAACAGAAATGTAATCTGAGCAAAACCCTGCAGCCTTTATCCTGGGAAATGTAACAAAAAATAATCAGAATATTGTCTCTAATGCTGGATCGGTAGCCTGGAAATCACTGCAGAAGTTTTTTTACCTATGGGAGGCTATGGGAACACTCTTGCATCATGTGATCTCAAATGTGAATGAGCAGGTCAAGAACTAAGGATATTCAAAAGATTGAAAATGTCCAAATAGGCAGTTCTGGAAATACCCCAACATTGTTTGGATATTACATTTGACATGGAATGA